GCTGGCCATGAAAAGTGGAAGATAGATGTGGCACGCAACCATGTGTGCCCCTCCTGTCAAAGCCTCAAACCTGGGGGAACCAGCTCTGGTCAAGTTCCTCCTGCCACTACGCATGCACTCTACCCCGCTTGGCATGCTGTTGGTGTAGATACTGGCGAATGGGTGGTCCCCAGCCAGAAGAAGAAGGTCAAGTTCCTGGTCTTTGTGGATGTCACGACAAAACTACGTGTGCTTCAACCACTACACGTCTACGACTTCCTCGAGATGCGCACGGAGAGCGCTGAGGAAGTGATGATGGCACTGACGGACAAGTGGCTTGCAACGTTTCCCAAACCAAAGGTTCTTCTGATGGACTCGGCCAAGAGCTTTGTGTCCGATGCCTTCCATGAGTTTGCCAGCTCCCTGAATATCCAGGTGCACTATATTGCGGAGAAGGAACACTGGGCACATGGAACGGTGGAAGCAGTTGTACAGGACATCAAGATGACTGCTTCGGCCATACAGCTTGAAGCCCGTGATCAAGATCCCCGCATTACACTACAGCTGGCAACGTCGGCACTGAATGCCACCGAGTATACCGCCGGATTCTCAGCTTACCAATGGGCTTTTGGCAAGCAGTATGACATTACCGATGAAGACACCAGGACCTTTGTCAACAACGACTACCCTGGAGAGTTTCTCAAGTTGGTGACGGCTCGACAACATGCCGAAGCAGTGGCCACCAAAACTCGAGCACTACGAGTTCTTTCCAAGCTATCGAACACTACGGTGCGACAACCTCTGAGGACATTCTCTCCTATGGAGCTCGTCAAGATCTGGCGACGGGTGTGGCCCAAGGAGCAGTACAAGGGTCCTCGTGGCGGTCTCCGTATGTCCGGGAGGCCACACTGGATAGGACCCGGGAGGGTCATCTTTTGTGAAGTGATTCCGCATCAAGAAGGCAGTGATGCCCGACGTCACATATGCTGGGTTTTGGTTGGAAAACAACTTTTCAGATGCTCAGTCCATTCTGTGAGGCCCGTCACTACTACGGAACGATTCCAGTATGAGACTTCGGGAGAAGAACAAGTACATCAATGGCACACCCTCAAGGATGTTCTTCCACAACGAGAGTTTGTTGATCTTACCGATCAAGAGCCAACCATGGAAGAAGTGGAACTTCCCAACCTACCTCTTCAGCCAGATGCCCAAACTGTTGTGGATCCACCTTCTCGACGAGTACGTGCCAAAACCACACCTACAACACCCTTGACAACCACCGTGGAGGAGGACAATGAGACCGGCAACGTCCCAACATCCTCTACTACAAGAACCAATGACGACGTGAATGGGTACGACATGCCGGCTCCCAAAAAGGCTCGCCAGGATGACTGGGTTGAAGATCTCTATGCGGAGGCACAACAAGAACTTGAACATGACCTGTTTACATGTCTGGAAGCGATCGAGGAGACAATGGATTGTTTGAAGGTTGAGTTCGACGTCGGCGACCTCAGCAACCGACAACGCAAACATCTTGAACGTAACCCGGTCAGTTACATGGTCAAGAAGATGCGAGACTCTGAGGTCTCAATTTCCCGTTTGTCGCCAGCAGAACGGAAGCTCTTTGAGAGAGCAAAGATGAAGGAGGTTGAGTCCTTCCTCAAACATGAGGCAGTGCGCAAGTGTCTAGATCACAACGAAGTCAAACAGGCTTTTGATCGCAACCGCATCATTCGAGCTCGATGGGTTTTGACCTGGAAACCCATTCCTCCTGAAGATCGTGGAGCAGCTGTTCATGACGCCAAGTCCAATGCCAAGACCACTCACACAACCGATGGAGCGAAAAAGGCTAAAGCACGAATTGTGCTCCTCGGCTTCGAGCACCCAAGCTTGTTGGACAGCAAGTTCAAAACTGCATCACCCGTGCAGAGTACCCTTGGGAGAAACCTCCTCTACACCAAGGCGATGCATGAGCAGTGGGACTTGGAAGGTTTGGATATCAGCACGGCGTTTTTACAGACTATGCCGACGGAAGCCGACCGCGAAATCTGGACCTACGGTGTTGAAGAGCTTCGAGATGCTCTTGGGGTTGGACAAGAAGGGATCATGAGAATCCTTCGCAATGTCTACGGCAGCACGACGGCTCCTCGTGGATTGTGGCTAGATCTACATCGAAAACTCACTTCCCTGGGAGCCCAAGCTGTCTTGGGAGAACGCTGCTTGTGGATTTGGTTGTCAAAGATCGAGCTGGATGGCAGCCATCCACGCATGATTGGCGGCATGGGAGGTCATGTAGATGACTTCCACCGAACGGGAGATCGAGAATCACCCGAATGGTTAGAAGTTGTTGACAAAATCAACAAGGCCTACGAATGGGGAATGATCAAAAAGAATGCCTACCGCCACGCAGGCACCGACGTGACGATCAAGGAGGACGAGCATGGCTTCAAGAAACTCGTGGTGGACCAGGAGTACTACATTGAGACGATACAGGACTTGAACATCCCTGTGGATCGACTACGCGGAGACGGTCCCCTACTACCTCGTGAAGTGGAGGCCTGCAGAACAGCTTTAGGAGCGCTTCAATGGCTAGCCGTTCAGTCCCAGCCACAGTTGTGCTCAAGATGCAACTTGCTTCTCACAGAGCTTGTCACGACGGGAACTATGAGCACTGCGCTTGAAATTCAAGGCATGGTGTGCGAGATTCGGAACCAGTCTTACAAGCTGGAGTTTCGGAAATTTCCTGATGCCCGTCACTGGAGCGACATTGTCTTCATCAGCATGGGCGACCAGGCGCACTCGAACCGTCCGAAGGGCGACTCTACAGGTGGCATGCTAACACTCGTAGCCGGTCCGGGCTGCATTGATGGCAAAATGTGTCCCATGAGCCTCATCGGATGGCGGACATGGAAACTCAAACGAAAGGCCATTGGAAGCAACGACGCGGAGGTGCAGTCAATTCTGGAGGCAGAGGACCAGAACTTTCGAGCTCGTCTTCTGTGGTCAGAGCTCAACGGCGCTGGAGGACGTCATGAACAACGAGAACTCCGTCGCGACATGGTAGATCAAGTCGAGGCTCAAATTACTCGCATTAAGGGCATCCTCTGCACCGACAGCAAGGGCGGATACGATGCAGTGGAAGTCAATGAGTCTCCCTTGCTGGGCTTGAGCAACATGCGAGCAGCCTTGCAGGCTTTTCAGTTACGTGACAATCTGGAACGTGCAGCTTGTCAGTTACGCTGGCTGGCCTCAGACTATGACTTAGCTGACGCCTTGACCAAGAAACGCGCAGATGCGCGTCAAGGTCTTCTAAGATTCTTGTCGTCAGGAGTTTGGGCTATCAAATATGATCCCAACTTTGTCAGTGCTCGCAAGAGCAAGCAGCGAGGTGGTGGTGCTCTACGTGACCATGATGATCACCTCCGAGGCGATGGGATGTGGCTTGATGTCCTGTGGAACTTCTTTTCATGTTCATACGATGATCCCGAAGTGCAGCTGATGTCTTTTGGGGGTTGATGCAACAAGTCACTCCA